GCATAAGTTGATGAGAGCATATTTACCAAGTGGTTGAAAATACATGTACTATGACAAATATCTGGCAAAGACTGAGGCACTCTGGATGAGTCTCTTAGAATTACCGTTACTCATACACATCTACCCTGCCTTAACCCTCTGCCCTTCCCTGAAATCAGTTATATAGTATACCCACACAGGTATCTATTAAACCTTTACTTTGATTTTCTTTAGGTTTTGTTTTTGTTGTTTTACTTCGCACCAATACAGTATGAGTCACGATACATTAATATGTGATTTTCCAGTTTTACTGGCATTCATGCATTATTTCAGAGATGAACGGGCACCTGAGTAGAACCACCCAGGCCCTGTAAGCTAGCTTAAGATAGCTTCATCATGCAAAAAAATCAAAAATACTGACAGGATTTAAAACCACAAAAGCGAGGAACAAGTGATTTAATGACAACAACCTTAACCAGTCAGCCAAAAACACCCCCTTTAAATTGTTTACTGCCTGCCAATAAGTCATAAAAATTTCACAATACATGGCAAAAAATTGATCTTAATAATATCAAAAGGAAATATTTCATTTTTTTTTTCTTCAGAATATTATGTGTTTAATGTCCAATATGAATTCTGGCAATCATTACAGTTCTATCTTACATAACTAAAACAGCATATTTAATTTAAAGTTACATGTGACACGCAATACACATTTTTGTATGCCAGCCAAAACAACAACTGTTCATATTTGTTTCTGTTTCAAAACAGCATTTGGCAGGGACTATTTCAAAACACTCACAAGGTGTGATAATTATGATATTGCATCATTTACTATTTGTAAGTGGGTAATAAAAGTCTGTATACCACATCCAGATACTGATCTGACATATTGTACACAGACTGTGACTTGATAATGATAATAGGTTACCTGATTTTCTTCCAAGGGCTGGAACCCAGCCAGGAAATATCAGCAGTGACTTTTAAGTGTGCCAAGTTCAGTATTAACACCTACACGCTTTTCATATATATATCATAATTATTATAAGTCTAGTATAGATCTAAGATGTTAATCTGGTAGAAACAATAATCTTCTACTAGAATGTGGAATCTGACCTTCAGGTAGTGTGACTATAACAAAATACAATGATAAACTAACCCTTTACCTCCAGAAATCATGTAATGGATTTGCTCTCCTTTAAATTTGGAACAGTATATTCATAGTATAAGTTATTTCAATATCAAAAACAAAAATTGAGTTTAAATAACAGTAGAGCCAGGTCAGACTGCACGGACTTTACAGGCTAGCCTGGTTACAACACTCAACTTGTGGGTACAGGTTGATCCCATTCAGCTTCAGCAAGGTAATAGGAGATAAATCTGTACAAAAATGAGGAACCCAATATATTAAAGGATATTTGGGAAGAAAAGAAAGGAATATTGAACAAATTGTAAGTTCTATAAGCCACAAACATCCCAGACAGCATTATCAATGGAACTATCTTCAAAGGTGTCATATATATCAGGTTCAATTGCACATGAAAAGAATTCTCTGCAACTGTAACTGGTTCTGAAACCATTTTAATCTATTCATATAACCATTATATTTAATTATTATATTCATATATTTACAGAATCACCAAATCATCATCCTGTACCTATAGGTTACACCTTTACATGCAACAGGAATTATGATGTTTTTCATTGATAAAAAACTCAGAAAAACACCTCCATACTATTATTAAACACCAAAGTTATGTACTACATAATAGCATTATATAAAGAATCTGCAGGAAATCATTTAGTTTCTGATATAAGAGATAACAAGATTTACAGATCTACTGTACCCAGCCTCTATAGCCTGCAAATAGTATGTAGCAGTGTAAGTGGTAAAAATTTCCCCTCTGCAATAATTATTATAGTTAGTGTTTCAAACAAACACAAGCAAGTTTCTTCACCTTTTTCTATTTTTTCTAGCTCAGTCTTCCAACATCTTTTCTAACAATTACTACAAATGGTTTGTTAAACTCAGGTTTTTTAAGAGAACTGGTTGATTGAAATTTAAGTATGTAAACCAAGATATTTAGGACTGAACCTAGGCTGTTAGTTATGTTTTTTTATGCATATAAAGTGACCAATACCCTTAAAGAAGAATGGGATTTTTTTTACCAATGTTTGGCTCTTAATTACTAGGAATTTGCATTCAAAGTTGCTGCCTAGTTCTGTTCCAAGTATGCAAACAATTCGTTCACAGCTTGCATATTTTACAACATGACACAACTGTTCCAAATGGATATAACCCAATATCAACTATAAAATCATGCAGCCAACACTTTGGGTCAAGGGTCCTCTATAAAGTGGACTCTATACAGAGCATTTTAAGTAAGCATAAATCTACAAATTCAGGGTTTGAGCTAGGGGCAAATAGGGCAAAGAAGTCGCCTAAAACAAACTTAAAAGCGATTTTGAAGTCGCCCTATTTTTTTATGATCTATCATATCTGTTTATGACGACACTAGTTCTGTTACTAATTTGTTTACTTCTTCTGTGAAAGTAACTATCTGACATATTTAGTTATTTAGCTAAAATAAATAGTTTATGCACATTTTCAACATCAGCAGCAGCGTTTATGAAGTCACTGGCCGTAGAATCTATTTCTGCAACTGTTGTTAAATTTTAAATCAATAGACAATGTGGGTTTGCATGCAAGTTATTTAAACGCCAATAATGAAATGTAAAGTGAGTCAGCACAAACCATTAGTAATAGCATACTTATCTTTATTTCACAAATGCCTCACATGCTATTATAAAATCTTCAACATTTACCATTAAAAGCTGTAATCTGTGGCCATAGCAACCACTTGCAGGATTTATATAATAAACATGTATAATGCTCATATTTGAGTAAAAATCATTTCCTAACCAGTAGAGCTGTCATCGAAAGAGACGATATCAATGTATTGTTGATATTTTTCTGTCCACCAATAACCAATACACATTTGAAAAAAAAATCAAAATTTAGGATCATTTTCAATGTCTATAATATAAATATGAAAATTCACCCAAAACATATGCAAAAGCAGGTGGGCAAGTCTTAAACTATGCTGGAGTTAAATAATGAACACATTTCATAGCAGTGATGACAAAAAAATGGTCAGAAAAAAAATAATGCAAAGGACATTTTATAAACAGGACACAACTCATATTTGTATAAATAGAACATGGATTTTACTAAATCATTTAAACAGGTATGATAATGAATTATATATACTAGAAATTAGGGAGTATTTATTAATAAATCGGTGTCTCGTCAATATCCTTTGCTTTAAAGCAATGACAGCTCTACTGGAATTAAACAAAACAAAATAATGTTGTTTTTGGTCAGTCCCTTTATGCAAAACAAAAACATTAGTGTAGAGAATCTGGCAGACCAAATTCTACTATTTTATGGCACAGGCACGAGTATCGGACCTGGGAAGAAAAAATATGACCAGATTGATAAAAAAACCTGTGTTCATCTTGAAAATGTCAAAAAAAAACAAAAAAAAATGTAAATAATGACCCCCTTTAAAAATATACTATAAGTTAACTTATAGTATATTTTTAAAGGGGGTCATTATTTACATTTTTTGGGGTTTTTTTTGACATTTTCAAGATGAACACAGGTTTTTTTATCAATCTGGTCATATTTTTTCTTCCCAGGTCCGATACTCGTGCCTGTGTTTTATGGTACAAACAAAAATCGGGCAAACTAAACACATGCATTCCATGGCACTGTCAGTTTATGATATTAACAAGACAAAGCTATGTCTAGAAAAAAATATTCGGTCACCAGAACATAACACAGATGACCTTCACATGGAATGGTGAGAATGCCAGCACCTGCCTATATACAATATCCTGTGCATGTTTGTCATTCCTTATTACAGATTTATTTTATTAACAAATATAATACTTCAGTATATTACTTACAATTTACTTATCATCATAAATAAACAAGTGTTTTGTAAAATTACATAATATTAATTATGTTGAAATTCCCCCTTTACAACATTTGTTTTTCTTTCTCCAATTTGCCTTCCGATTTGTAGAGCTTTTTTTCTCAACATGAATGATGGTAATAAAAATCAAGTGTTTGGCATATTTTTGAACAGACTCTAGAAATGTTTTTTTTTTTTGTTACTTACAAACTACAAGAACTGGTGTTAATGTTACTGTGCAGGTAGCAAAAGTGATCTTGTCCCTATTTACTTCAAAACTGTTTGACATGTATCTCAGGGTTGTCATTAAGAGGCGGCAGGAGGCCAAAATGCCTGTCTCAAATGCATTATGGGCCGCCTCAAAATTAAGAAAACACTCTTTGTTATGCATGATAAAGACAGAAATGACCGCCTCAAGTTCAAAACAAACCTTCTGCAAAAAATGTTAATGACAACCCTGTATCTACATTTGTAAAATGCCTAAGACACTAGCAACAGGGCCAAGACATGATATGCACAATTTTTTTGATAATATTTGAGGAAAACAGACTTATGTCATTGCCATGAAAAACACAATAATTTATTAAATTATGGGTGTTAACATAATCAATTAGGTAATCCAGTAAAATATTTGGAAAATTAAACAACACAAGAGTGTTTTCATACTGAAAAATTATATTTAATTCATTGTCCCTTTCAGAAATATAACATTGTATATTTGTGGCGGTGTTGTGAAGAAATCTACAAAATTTTTCCAATTTCTCTAACAATTTCTGTTCTTAATTTTTTGGGGAATTTTAAGAGACAGGGGAATTTTTAGGATCAAACTAGGACAAAAAAGATGCAAGTTTGGTTAAGGAAGCAGTCGATAAAACTTTGCTACTCTTTTCTAAAAAATCACTGTCAAATCATAAACCTTACCTAAGTTACCTTCACATAAATGTAACACAATAAATTTGACTGCATTCCCAGAGATAAAATCAATGGTATAAATAAGGAACAATATGGTAAAATACAGAAGGTGTATATAAGTTGACATACCAGACTGTGTAGTTTGCTGGATTGAGAGATGCAGCATCCTTAGTGAGGTTGAGGGCTCGCTCACTGATTTCATTTCTGTCAACAACAGCTCTGAAGTAGTCATACACATCACGAACTGAAAAAAAAAATTATATAAGTTGTGGCAACATATAACTTAAAATATTGTAGAAATAACAGCATATTATTCAAGCCCTATAAATATCAATTTTAACTTGCTACATGTTGATACTAAAATGTCTAGTTCACATGCCTGTTATGTTGCTTAACACTTAACATGACTTCACAAAAAAATAGCCATTTCTACACATTGTATTAAATATTCCAAAAATCTACGGTTGTCTTTAATATTTCTGGAACTCATAGATGTATTTAATTGAGATTTCATACCAACTTTACTGGTATTATTATTAGTTTACACAATACATTCTATAACTCACTTTGACTCATTTTTGCTTGTTTACTATTATTATAAATATTATATGATTTTGGCAATTTTTTGGCCCTTTGTTGACCATGTTTCTTTCTTCACTTGATTGTTGTAAAATTAATTCCTTAAAAAATACACTAATTATCAACCTTTAGTCTGCTGGATTTAACTGAATATACCCATCCAACCATGACAGACCAAGATAAGCTAACACATCTGAACCAAAACAAAACTCCTTCCCAGGTAGTATCAATTTTTCTTTATTTTTCCTTTTATATTTTTTTCATTTAAAAAAGAACTGTACTAAATAAGACCAGGAAAGATCTGTAACTTATATTAAAGATTTAGATAACTGCTCTTTTGAATTTTTTCCAGTTATTCCGCATCAACGAGAGGTCATAATTTAAAACTAGAATTGCCTTGTAGTAGAACAACACATTGCTTGAATCAGTTTTCACGATTTGTAATTAAAATATGGAATAATTTGCTGAAAAATGTAATAGAATACAAAAAGTGTATAAAATCAAGCTGGATCAAAAGAGGACCAGAGAAAGTACCATATAAAATTAAAAAATTTACCGTAGCATTATGCTGTAAAAATTAAACAGCAGTGTAAACTGAAAGTTGTATATATAAATAAATATACAGAGCTACAGATAAGCAGGGTATCTAGGTAATTGCCCAATAATTTTGACCCATTTACCCAATTAAAATAAAATCTTTGAGTAGTGAAAAAGCAAATCAAAGGCTCAGTACCCAATTTGTTTTGATTCTTCCGCTGAGTAGACTTGTTATATAAATTTGTATCAATTTTTTTACGGAAAAGCTTATACTTTGAAGAGATAATGCAAAACATTTTAGTTATCTTACCAAGCCAGAGCCTTAAAGGATGTTGTGAGAAATTCTTATTACCTAAAACAAGTAAACATCATTATCTGGTTAATGTCAATCTACACAAATAAATTAATTTTTCAATGATACCCAATTTGTTTCTGTGTTACCCAATTGTGTGTCAAGTTCAGGGGTAAATACCCAATTAACTCAAAAGCTTATCTGTAGCTCTGAATATAATAGCGATGAGACCAACATAAAGTAGTGGCGAAAGTTTGTCTAAACAAGAGAGGCTTAAGAAGGGTTGAGCTCTTCGGTAATCTCCTAGATTAGACCCCTATGTATATTTAAGTACTAAAACTTGTATATAATACACTAAAGAAAATGGAATATATATACTCCTGGCTTAGAGTTTGGGGTCCATTCCAGGAGATAGCCTTTCCTTCTTAGATTGGGTCTGGTAACAAGAGCTGTCGGTAGGACAGCAACGCTCGACTATTCTTAGTGCTTGATAGTAAAAAAAATGCTTGATACTGTTACCTCCTCCTGTTTACAGGTTGGGATCATGATGGTGAACAAGTGTGCAAAGTTTCAAAGCCATATGTCAATGGACTTTGAAAATATTTGAATTGTTACAAAAACTTTAACGTAAATTCTAAGTTGAACAAGAGCTGTCGGTAGGACAGCAACGCTCGACTATTCTTAGTGCTTGATAGTAAAAAAAATGCTTGATACAGTTACCTCCTCCTGTTTACAGGTTGGGGTCATGATGGTGAACAAGTGTGCAAAGTTTCAAAGCCATATGTCAATGGACTTTGAAAATATTTGAACTATTACAAAAACTTTAACGTAAATTCTAAGTCGAAAAAGGGGCATAATTCTGTCAAAATGCTTGATAGAGTTACCTCCTCTTGTCTACAGGTTTGGGTCATGATGGTGAACAAGTGTGCAAAGTTTCAAAGCCATATGTCAATGGACTTTGAAAATATTTGAACTATTACAAAAACTTTAACATAAATTCTAAGTCGAAAAAGGGGCATAATTCTGTCAAAATGCTTGATACAGTTACCTCCTCCTGTTTACAGGTTGGGGTCATGATGTTGAACAACTGTGCAAGGTTTCAAAGCCATATGTCAATGGACTTTAAAAAATATTTGAACTATTACAAAAACTTTAACGTAAATTCTAAGTCGAAAAAGGGGCATAATTCTGTCAAAATGCTTGATACAGTTACCTCCTCTTGTCTACAGGTTGGGGTCATGATGGTGAACAAGTGTGCAAAGTTTCAAAGCCATATGTCAATGGACTTTGAAAATATTTGAACTATTACAAAAACTTTAACGTAAATTCTAAGTCGAAAAAGGGGCATAATTCTGTCAAAATGCTTGATAGAGTTACCTCCTCCTGTTTACAGGTTGGGGTCATGATGTTGAACAAGTGTGCAAAGTTTCAAAGCCATATGTCAATGGACTTTGAAAATATTTGAACTATTACAAAAACTTTAACGTAAATTCTAAGTCGAAAAAGGGGCATAATTCTGTCAAAATGCTTGATAGAGTTACCTCCTCTTGTCTACAGGTTGGGGTCATGATGGTGAACAAGTGTGCAAAGTTTCAAAGCCATATGTCGAAAATGTTGAAAATATTTGAACTATTACAAAAACTTTAACATAAGTGGTTACGCCGACGCCGACGCTCGGGTGACTGCAATAGCTCTACTTATTCTTATCGAATAGTCGAGCTAAAAAGGGGCATAATTCTGTCAAAATGCTTGATAGAGTTACCAACTCCTGCCTACAGGTTGGGGTCATGATGGTGAACAAGTGTGCAAAGTTTCAAAGCCATATGTCAATGGACTTTGAAAATATTTGAACTATTACAAAAACTTTAACGTAAATTCTAAGTCGAAAAAGGGGCATAATTCTGTCAAAATGCTTGATAGAGTTACCTCCTCCTGTTTACAGTTTGGAGTCATGATGGTGAACAAGTGCGCAAAGTTTCAAAGCCATATGTCAATGGACTTTGAAAATATTTGAATTGTTACAAAAACTTTAACGTAAATTCTAAGTTGAAAAAGAGGCATAATTCTGTCAAAATGCTTGATAGAGTTACCAACTCCTGTCTACAGGTTGGGGTCATGATGGTGAACAAGTGTGCAAAGTTTCAAAGCCATATGTCAATGGACTTTGAAAATATTTGAACTATTACAAAAACTTTAACATAAGTGGTTACGCGGACGCCGACGCAGACGCCGACGCTCGGGTGACTACAATAGCTCTACTTATTCTTATCGAATAGTCGAGCTAAAAAGACCCTTCCCAAATGAAAATACATTTTTTCTAAATAAAAAAAAAATGCAAATTATATCAGCTTTAAATATCATATTTGCTGAGTAATCAAATTATCAATCCCCAAAATATACTAAATTAAAATTTATATTGTGCCAATGGAACATGTTCACATAGTAATAATAAGATAATCAAGCACCCTAATATCACAGGCAAAAGTATCGGACCTGGGAAGAAAATATATGACCAGATTGATAAAAAAAACTGTGTTCATCTTAAAAGTGTCAAAAAAAAAAACAAAAAAAAATGTATATAATGACCCCCTTTAAAAATATACTATAAGTTAAGAGTAGGCCGGAAACTCCAGATTCGAGCCTACGAGCAAGGGATTCATTTCCCAGGCCGTTGTGAAAACAATTGGCCAGACAATAAAAAAAACTTTTATCACTATTTCACGTTTATATAAAGCTTCAAAATGAGACCAACCCCAAGTCTCTAGCCCTTCCCGTTCATGAAATATCTATCAGGAAACGAGCGACTTCGTGCTAAAAATCCTTGGTAGACATAATTGCGGCACAACAATTCGGTACGTAAACATAGACTAATACATGTATGTCAGCTGACTACGGGTCAAAATTACTTGAATTTACTAAATAATATTACTAAATACATTAAGTTGGACCACTCACAACCGTCAGTAGCATCTGATACACGCAAAATTCAAATTTCAAACCTTTCCACGGTCTTTAGATTACTTTCTACGCCATTGTCAATCAGCTGTTCGATATTTTGTAACGAGTCTTCTGATTGGCCAATAGCAACGAAAACCGCAACGTTTCACACAAGATGCCTAATGGCGTAGAAAGCGATTGAAAGACCGTGTAAATGTTTGAAACTCAAATCCCGTGTGTATTAGATGCTACTGACGGTTGTGAGTGGTCCAACTTAATGTATTTAGTAATATTATTTAGTAAATTCAAGTAATTTTGACCCGTAGTCAGCTGACATACATGTATTAGTCTATGTTTACGTACCGAATTGTTGTGCCGCAATTATGTCTACCAAGGATTTTTAGCACGAAGTCGCTCGTTTCCTGATAGATATTTCATGAACGGGAAGGGCTAGAGACTTGGGGTTGGTCTCATTTTGAAGCTTTATATAAACGTGAAATAGTGATAAAAGTTTTTTTTAATTGTCTGGCCAATTGTTTTCACAACGGCCTGGGAAATGAATCCCTTGCTCGTAGGCTCGAATCTGGAGTTTCCGGCCTTCTCTTAACTTATATATATAGTATATTTTTAAAGGGGGTCATTATATACATTTTTTGGGGTTTTTTTTTTACACTTTTAAGATGAACACAGGTTTTTTTTATCAATCTGGTCATATTTTTTCTTCCCAGGTCCGATACTTTTGCCTGTGCCTAATATTACTGAATTGATTTTCATGACTGTTTAAATGACTCGTCACGAGTCACAACAGCAAATATTACATGATTTTTTTTTCCAAAATCCAGTGAAAAATGATGTTAAGCATTTGGATGTTAACTTTTTTTAAAATCCCAAATTTGTTATCACACCATGCATTTTTTCCCAATTGGACCAGACCAGGACCCATTTCCAAAATAAAAAAAAAAAACAACACTGGATTTTAGACACCAACTTGATTAATGATCTTAAACATGTAATTATATACCATGTTTATCCGTTATGAACATTCACAAACATAATTTAAGGAATTATGATAAGAAGATGATAACTTCTTTCATTATCCCGCCAGTCAAAAAATTATTTTGATAGGAACCAGTCTAATTAATAAATTAATTCAAGTCGAATTTAACCAAGGCCCTAGGAAAGTCATACTAATTGATATTAAACATTCAATACCCTGTGAACATATGTCTGTTAACCTCAAGCAATGACAGTCATAAAATGTAAACATAATTTGCATTGTTTGTAAACAAACAGTCGCGAAAACACATTACACATTTTCGTACCGGTTTGGAAAAAGGCTGTTTATCGTAAATAAACAAATACTCACACTTGTCAGAGTAAGCTATCTGTACCACAGGGTGTGGCCCATCATCCTGAGACACAGGAGCGATGTCGTTCCACTCGTCTCGCTCCGAATACGGAGTCCAACTTTCCTGACTACTTTCGTCTGAACTGGAATCCGACATTTTTGTCGCTCGAAAGGAGTGAAGTTAAGTTCGATTGACACTTATCACCAGTCAAAGTCATTTACACGAAATGGAAATCTTTTCGTTTAAAGTAAAATTGATATAGTGTGGGTATAACAGCGATGTTCTTACTATTATTCATTGGTAAGAACTTGGCTACCAAAATAAATACTTGACAAATATACGATGGTTGTTCAAAAAACACATATCTAGGAATTCTACAGTATTGGACCTTCTATTTTATTTAATCTGAACATTTTCATAGAATAGAACAGGTACGTATATTATAAGTCGCCGCTTGCACGCGGCGTCTATTAGATATGCATTCGTTCAGTCAGCAATGGGGTAAATTTTAGTCTTTTTTTTTTTTGTTTATTTTTTTGTTCAAACAAAATTACACAGTTTTCAGATTTTCGGATAAAAATAGCTTTTCTGATGATCAACATGTCCCCGAGCGTCATGGAATTAAATAAACGTTTAACAAAAGTGATACATGTACTTCCGTGTTTAAATATAACATTCTTTTTATTTTTATCTTTTTTATTATTTACCAATAAAATAACGTACCAATGAGCCAGTCTATATTCTAAAGCAGGAAATTACCGAGTGGAATATCCTCGGCTATTATCAATTTCAAGTGTAGCTGTTTAACAACATGACAGCATTTCTTGTACAATATCAACATCTTATGGTAAAAATATACATTTGTCAAAAATACATCGTAAAAACAACAAAAAGGAGTACATATTAATAAAGAACATGTATTATAAATTCTTTTTAAAATTAATTCATTTTTTTTTCTATTAAACATATAAACACGTTAATTATAGTGAATCAGGTTCAAATTATTATAACTTTATACAAATTGGCCATATATTATATTGTCCCCTTATAGAACTTCTTTTTGTAATTAAGCATATTCTCTTGGAGACTTTTAGTTCTTTATTGCAATCCAACTAATGACGGGCTATAGTGTAGTGACCCAGGGTCCACTTAAAATTTCGTTGCCAAATAATCAGAATACATGAAATCGTAAATGACTTGCAAAATATCAAGAGAAATGCTTAAGAAGTTTTGCAAATCAGTGGCAAAACTATTAAAATAAAACGTAATTGTTGATATTTAAGATATGCAGCTCGTTTTTCTAAATTCAACACATGTCAATTCTTAATTTTCTTTTCGCTTTGTGTGTGTGTTTTTTTTTTTGTTGTTGGGGGGGGGGGTAATAAAACTTCACACCACAGAGCTATATTATAGCTGTGATATAAGTCTCTGATGACATTATTCGCCAAAATGTACCAACTTTTATATATTTACATTTATCATTGTGTCTTTATATATATGGCACAAAACCACTTTTCTTTTTCACACACTCATGACAAGGGATACATGGATACAAGGTTACAGCTAGTGGGTCATGTTACAGATATCTTTTTTAATTAAATTTTGATTTTTTTCCACATTAATATATCATCAGAATGAAAAAAATTAGTAAACGAAAAATAAGAAATTAACAATTTTTTTGTATTCTTTCGACGGTTATTCTTCTTTCCGTATATATAGAATATGTTCGCACTTAACTTGTTTTGTATTATAGTGTTGATCTAATCGAAGCCGTACATCATACGGATATTTTGTGTACCTGTCTAATTACAATCTGGCACTTCCGGGATAACCACAAATGATCGACCAAACTTCTATCTAGCAAAGTCAGGTAAAATAAAAAGTTCCAGTACACGGAATCCGGAACGCAGGATATTCTCCGCCTTACGCTGGATAGTTTCCGACCTGTAATAATTTGCCTTGTACACATTCAATGCCTTTGAATAATGTAATATTGCACTATCAATAGTTTGATAATTCAATAATAAATTCAGTTTATGTTAATAAAGTATAAAAAAGGTCGGAAAAGTCATACACAATTAATTAGAATATACAGGTTGTCGCACATTCCGGAAAAATTACGGCCCGGGACGTGTTGGTCAGCCCCCAGCTCGTGACATAGGGCATGTGACACCAGCATCGGGGCTCAGTCATGGAGGGGACACGTACACAGACTGCAGGCATGCCTTACAATGTCTCTATCTTGGGGCTGAAGGGTCCACAACGAGCCAGAACGAGCGCCGAACCCCCAGCGACCACTGTTTTCGGCCGATTTTGGCTCAATTACGGCGTCCAATCTGGGACATAAGCGGGGCATGTGACACCACTTGCTACCCATGGGCGTTCAGGTCTGCCCATGGCCTTATCAAAACCGGAGAGATTAGGTCGCCAGCTTGGGGAAGGATATGTTTGATTTTCATGTTTGCTAGGCTAGGTTTCCACGTCAAAATGACCGCCCGGGACGTGTTGGTCAGCCCCCAGCTCGTGACATAGGGCATGTGACACCAGCATCGGGGCTCAGTCATGGAGGGGACACGTACACAGACTGCAGGCATGCCTTACAATGTCTCTATCTTGGGGCTGAAGGGTCCACAACGAGCCAGAACGAGCGCCGAACCCCCAGCGACCACTGTTTTCGGCCGATTTTGGCTCAATTACGGCGTCCAATCTGGGACATAAGCGGGGCATGTGACACCACTTGCTACCCATGGGCGTTCAGGTCTGCCCATGGCCTTATCAAAACCGGAGAGATTAGGTCGCCAGCTTGGGGAAGGATATGTTTGATTTTCATGTTTGCTAGGCTAGGTTTCCACGTCAAAATGACCGCCCGGGACGTGTTGGTCAGCCCCCAGCTCGTGACATAGGGCATGTGACACCAGCATCGGGGCTCAGTCATGGAGGGGACACGTACACAGACTGCAGGCATGCCTTACAATGTCTCTATCTTGGGGCTGAAGGGTCCACAACGAGCCAGAACGAGCGCCGAACCCCCAGCGACCACTGTTTTCGGCCGATTTTGGCTCAATTACGGCGTCCAATCTGGGACATAAGCGGGGCATGTGACACCACTTGCTACCCATGGGCGTTCAGGTCTGCCCATGGCCTTATCAAAACCGGAGAGATTAGGTCGCCAGCTTGGGGAAGGATATGTTTGATTTTCATGTTTGCTAGGCTAGGTTTCCACGTCAAAATGACCGCCCGGGACGTGTTGGTCAGCCCCAGCTCGTGACATAGGGCATGTGACACCAGCATCGGGGCTCAGTCATGGAGGGGACACGTACACAGACTGCAGGCATGCCTTACAATGTCTCTATCTTGGGGCTGAAGGGTCCACAACGAGCCAGAACGAGCGCCGAACCCCCAGCGACCACTGTTTTCGGCCGATTTTGGCTCAATTACGGCGTCCAATCTGGGACATAAGCGGGGCATGTGACACCACTTGCTACCCATGGGCGTTCAGGTCTGCCCATGGCCTTATCAAAACCGGAGAGAGATTAGGTCGCCAGCTTGGGGAAGGATATGTTTGATTTTCATGTTTGCTAGGCTAGGTTTCCACGTCAAAATGACCGCCCGGGACGTGTTGGTCAGCCCCAGCTCGTGACATAGGGCATGTGACACCAGCATCGGGGCTCAGTCATGGAGGGGACACGTACACAGACTGCAGGCATGCCTTACAATGTCTCTATCTTGGGGCTGAAGGGTCCACAACGAGCCAGAACGAGCGCCGAACCCCCAGCGACCACTGTTTTCGGCCGATTTTGGCTCAATTACGGCGTCCAATCTGGGACATAAGCGGGGCATGTGACACCACTTGCTACCCATGGGCGTTCAGGTCTGCCCATGGCCTTATCAAAACCGGAGAGATTAGGTCGCCAGCTTGGGGAAGGATATGTTTGATTTTCATGTTTGCTAGGCTAGGTTTCCACGTCAAAATGACCGCCCGGGACGTGTTGGTCAGCCCCCAGCTCGTGACATAGGGCATGTGACACCAGCATCGGGGCTCAGTCATGGAGGGGACACGTACACAGACTGCAGGCATGCCTTACAATGTCTCTATCTTGGGGCTGAAGGGTCCACAACGAGCCAGAACGAGCGCCGAACCCCCAGCGACCACTGTTTTCGGCCGATTTTGGCTCAATTACGGCGTCCAATCTGGGACATAAGCGGGGCATGTGACACCACTTGCTACCCATGGGCGTTCAGGTCTGCCCATGGCCTTATCAAAACCGGAGAGATTAGGTCGCCAGCTTGGGGAAGGATATGTTTGATTTTCATGTTTGCTAGGCTAGGTTTCCACGTCAAAATGACCGCCCGGGACGTGTTGGTCAGCCCCAGCTCGTGACATAGGGCATGTGACACCAGCATCGGGGCTCAGTCATGGAGGGGACACGTACACAGACTGCAGGCATGCCTTACAATGTCTCTATCTTGGGGCTGAAGGGTCCACAACGAGCCAGAACGAGCGCCGAACCCCCAGCGACCACTGTTTTCGGCCGATTTTGGCTCAATTACGGCGTCCAATCTGGGACATAAGCGGGGCATGTGACACCACTTGCTACCCATGGGCGTTCAGGTCTGCCCATGGCCTTATCAAAACCGGAGAGATTAGGTCGCCAGCTTGGGGAAGGATATGTTTGATTTTCATGTTTGCTAGGCTAGGTTTCCACGTCAAAATGACCGCCCGGGACGTGTTGGTCAGCCCCCAGCTCGTGACATAGGGCATGTGACACCAGCATCGGGGCTCAGTCATGGAGGGGACACGTACACAGACTGCAGGCATGCCTTACAATGTCTCTATCTTGGGGCTGAAGGGTCCACAACGAGCCAGAACGAGCGCCGAACCCCCAGCGACCACTGTTTTCGGCCGATTTTGGCTCAATTACGGCGTCCAATCTGGGACATAAGCGGGGCATGTGACACCACTTGCTACCCATGGGCGTTCAGGTCTGCCCATGGCCTTATCAAAACCGGAGAGATTAGGTCGCCAGCTTGGGGAAGGATATGTTTGATTTTCATGTTTGCTAGGCTAGGTTTCCACGTCAAAATGACCGCCCGGGACGTGTTGGTCAGCCCCCAGCTCGTGACATAGGGCATGTGACACCAGCATCGGGGCTCAGTCATGGAGGGGACACGTACACAGACTGCAG